CCGTAGGGAGGCCTCGAAGCACACACAGGATAATATCTTGTTCAGAGATGTCCTCATGAGCCAATTTCAGAGATGAGACAATAGTGAGAACAGTGTCCAGGTATGTTTGCATGGAATCAGTGCCCTTTTGAATGCTATGTAGACGCTCCTTCAATTGAAAAATATGAGTACGTGAAAGAGAATTGTACCGTTGTTCGAGGTGATTCCAAATTGCAGCAGAGGATGGAAGAGCATGAATATGAGTCTGAACAGTTGGAGAAACAATAGCGAGAAGACAGGCCCTGATTTGAGCATCAACAAGAACCCATGAGTCATAAGCAGGATTGGGTTTCATAACTGGCGGTGCATCCTTGCCAGGGGCAGCAGCTTTCTCGTCCAAATTAAGGGGTGAAGGAGGCACTTCTGAACCATCAACATATCCGAGGAGACGATGAGCGACGAGGTTTGCGCGAACCGTAGCAGACCAAGAGGGATAATTTGTATCATCTAGTTTGACCGGAGTTAGAGATTGAAGATTCCGGACAAATAATTTCAAGCCCGTAGGCAGTCGATCCATGGGATCAGAAGTTTGAGCAGCCATGGCCGATCGGTGGAGATCGGCGGCGGTGGCCGATCGGCTGGGCCGATTTTTTTTTTTTTTTTTATCGAGAAGGAAGAGACGGATCAATAGGCTCTGATACCATATTGAATTATGATTTCAACTCAAGGAAATAATTGTGTACAAGGTAGTTTATATAGATGTAGGTCCATCAATTAGGATTCTCCAAGTATGGTAATTAACTATAATAATAATCCTTCTATAACTAGAACTATTTCCATATTTATCTAACACTTTGTTTATAAACTTTATGTATTGCCTAACTTTAACTTTAGCATTGCTAAATCTTAATTTGTACGGAGTTTGGAATTACCCTTCTATATATGCTACTAGTACTCATCTTTATTTTTCGATGTGGGAACTCCAACATGCACTCCAAGTGTGGATGCTTTTACTTCACATACTTGAACCTATTTTTTTCTTAGTATGCTTCTCTACTAAACAGAAGCTTTTGCTACAAACGAAATAGCATACTCACTCCAAATGCCTTCGTGAATTCACCACTACTCAAACAACACTGGTCAGTAAAAGCCCTAATGGTACAAGCTCAAAAAGAAAATTATGTCAAGATCCCATCAACATCAAAACAGAAAAGAAGAAGCTTGGCTGATCACTTCCTCAAACTTTTTTTACCCTAAATCCCTAACTCCCCCACCTGTTTTTTTTTTTTTTTTTTTTTTTTTTGTAATGTCTGTGTCTACAATACCCCTTTTGGATTGTGTTGGTTGAAAAATGAAAACTCATAACTCTTTTTTTGTAGCACTACAGCCTGCTACTCCGGGCTAGATGTATAAATTACTAATGGCTATTAACTCTGTGTGTAGTACTACTCCTTGGTATACTCACAACTCAATTTCTCATGCCTTTGGTTACAATAAAACAATACGGAGTATAATAATTCATACCCATGCACGTAGTGCATCCCCATCCACATAGATTAGTACACAATATATTATGAGATTATATGCTTGTTCTTTATTTTCTTGATTGGATTTTGAGATCCATGAATTTATTTTCTTAATAATTAAATACTAATAATTAGTATTTAAGTAAAATAAAAAAATGGTAATGTGGTTAAATTTTATGGTGTTTAGAAGAACTTTGGATCGAAGTAAAAAATTACTTTGATTGTACAAAAAAAAGATAGGCCTCATTCATAAGGGCCCCTCAGACCTGTCCCGACTGTCACTGAGAGGAGATAAATTGAACTCTAATTGTAGATTAGTGGCAGGGAGTAGAGCATGCATCTAGTACTTGCAGAGGTCCTGTGTTTAGCATAGTTGTCTCTCAGTGCAGTTGTCATGAATCTAACTCAGGTCTATCCTTTGACACTCCTTTCCTCTCTTTGCTAAGTGCACAACGCCCACCCTCATTTTAATTGTACAAAAATAGAAGAAGTGAGGTATGCATGTAGAGCTTACGAAGAGTAATATGGATTAAAAAATACTACATAAGTCCAAAAAAGGTGCAAGAAAATAAATAAAGTAAATTTTTAGTCCTCTCTAACTCACAATGGATGCCATTCTCCAAATGTTACGTAAAATCTCTTCATTTTAAAAATAATTTTAATTATAAAATTGACCAAAAAATAAAAAAAAATATAAATTAAATCGTTCAAAAGTGCATAAATAGTTTTACAAAATAAGAGTTTTCAAAAATATTTTATTTTATTGAATAATCAATAAAAACATACTCCCTCTGTCCCTAAAAAAACTTCTCCTTTCGTTTTTTCTTTGTCCCAAAAAAACTTCTCTTTTCCCTTAAAAAACAATTTTTACCCCTTACTTTTTCATACCCTACCTATCACATCATACTTTTTTACTAATAATCTACCATCACATCTTACTTTTATCCATCACATCAAGGGTATTTTTGGAAAGTCAACACCAAAATATCTCTTTCTTAATTTTCCAAAAAGTCAATAAGGGAAGTTTATTTAGGGACGGAGGGAGTACAAAATATGAAAGTTATTAAAAGTTTATAATAGCAACAAGAGTTTTTATTTTGGAATGAAAGGACTAAGGAGTTATATTTAATTTTAATGTAAGTTTAAAATTTGAATTTAATATAAATGAGTTGATTTTAAGACATCATTTTATAAAAAAATTTAATTTTTTACTCCGTATTTATTTGAACTTATTTAATTTATAATTAAAATTAGCACAAAAATCAAGGGGTGAAGGGAGTGAGGAATGGAAGAATTTGGTTAGAATTTTGGCTTGTGGATGGTCAAGTGGATTACCGCCGTCTTTTGCGGGTCCTCCACGTGGGCTCGCCATTCCGTTAAGGCGCCGTCGGTGACAGCACTGAGCACCCATTAGGAAATGTCCTTTTCTTCCCTCCTGATACATACACTTTTGCCACGCTTTTTTTACTACCGACTGAGCAATATTTTTAGGTCATGCTACACTTACACCACAAATTATACCCTATTTGTACACCGCAGTTATACACAAACATTTTGATGGTTTACACCGACACAAGTGTTGGTGCGTTAACAAAAATTTACACGGACACAAAGTGTTGGTGCATTAACAAAAATTTGTTTTACACCAACACTTTGTGTTGGTGCAAAGCTGCGGGGTACAAAGTAGGGTACAAAGGTTGGGGTACAAATAGCTTAATCCATATTTTTACAGTCCTACTCGCATTAAAGCTACCCATTTACTTCCTTCAAAAAAAAACTGCCCTTTTACAGTTTTACCTTTCCAAAACTCATATTCATCTATCCTAAAATAAAACTCTTATTAGTTTACGATTTTTGATTAAAGTTATTTTCAAGTTGATGTAAGTAAGAATTTGTGTAGAATTTATAATTAAAAATTATATATTAAAAAGTAATATCAAAAGTTTTACAAAACAAAAAGCAACAAAGTTATTTTATCTTATTAAATGATTGATTAAAATGTACAAAAGATGTGCAATTAGTTTGACATGTGAATAAAAATACTGAGTCTTTTTTATGACGGAAGGAATAGTCCAATACGAAGTGCTCTGTAAGAGCATTTGCAATGGGAGAGAGCGAGAGAGTCCCATCGTGCCTCTAGTAGAGGCGGGACTAATCGCGAGAAAATGCTGCACACGGGTGGAGCGTGTGGGGCCGCGGAACGGGCCAGATGTAGGCAAGTAGCAGGTTCCACTGCAGTGCTTCGTTGCGCTACTGGGTAGTTACGTTCGTTTTGTTCCAATTTTAATTTTTTTTTGCCTTCAACTCTATAAATTTATCACTTCTCCAATTTTAATTTATCCCACATGCACTCTCATCTCATTGTCATTTTACTCTGAAAAATGGATCTCCGATCCAACCAACCCATTAATTCGTAAATATGCTAATGACAATGTATCGAGAGTCGTTGGCTATACTGCAAGCGAAGATAAAAAATGAAATCGTTCGACAACTCCAATATTATATCTTTTTGTAATTTATGCTTTCAAAATATAATTATTTAAATTTTTAAATGAAAATGATGAATAGTATACATAAAACGGAGAAGCATTGTACTCCGTAGGTGTTTTGGATGATATTTAATTGATATTATTATAAAATTATTGCATGTAAATATTGACGTAAACCTTAAAAATAAAATATTTGAAAAGTATATGATAAAATTTCCGAAGATGGGTCATATTTATATGGTTTTATTAAATAGTAGATAAATAATTTAAATATCTAAAAGAAAAAGTTGAATTAATTTTGACCGCTTAAATGCAATCTTGTATCGCCATGACCACCCCTCTATCTCTTTAATTTCAACCAATTAAAATAATTCAAATATTCATCACTCATTTTCATTTTAAAATTATTGTAGACTATTTAATTTTTTTATTTAAGTTCACAAATGGTAAAATTGAAGTTTGTGATCATTTTGTTTGTAAATCTAACATTTATCATAGGCTAATAGACATATGGAGTCAATGCTTTCCCCATTTTAAAAAGATCTCGCCACCAACGCAATAATTAGTAGCCATGAAGTATATTTTTACATAAATACATGTTATAAATATTTGACATATCAAATATATGTCTCACAATAAACTTAATTATATTAATTTTATATTATAACCAAATATGTTTTTTTCTTAAGTCATGAGCAAAATTTATAAAATTTAATTAAGAAAAAGTCAATTTTAAAGATATTTTGTGACGAAGGGAGTAATTGAAAAGATAACTTATGGGAAGAGAAAATAGAGTTGTGATTCCAGGGTCCTAAGGTTTACATATAAAATATGAACCTTTCCGCATTTTTCATGAGTCGATATGAGGAATTTTTATTTTTTTTCAAAGAGCTCAATCCATCCATGGTTTGTATATGACGGGGTCCATAAAATGAGTGTGTACCTTGGGATCGGATCTCAGAAGAATTACCGAGAAAATACCGTTAGAGCCATGAGCACAAAAGTCACAAAATTTACAAATTTATATTATTATTTTCTCCGTTCCAATTTAAATTGTCCGCTTCACGTTACGATATATCACGAAAATTATTTTTAATTCATTTTATATGAAAATTGGTGTAAAAATAAAATTTATATATTTAAAGGATTACCAAAAACAAGAAAATAAATTTTAAACACACCTAACATTTTCGGATAAAAATAAACACTCTAATGCTCCTAGCGATTATTGCTCAACTAACATAACAATGTGATTAGGCCAAGCCGAACCGCAAATGATATCCCACGGGACAATTGCTAAAATTAGTTTACGCAATAATAATCCTTCACAAAAAAATACGCAATAATGATGACTTACTCCCTCCCTCTTTCTTCCCGTTTGTGTTTGTAAGATTTGACCGACTTTTTTTTCAATTTAATTTACTACGTATTTGATTGTAAGTGTAAAATAAAAAAACAAGATTCATATATTTAAAAACTACTTCAAAAATTCTACCGAACAAGTGATGACGAGACTATATTATTTTATCAAATATCAAATGAAAATTGGTAAAGAGAATGATTAAAGTTTGACCGTGTGGAAAGTAACTGGGAAAAATATTTTCGTAGGGAGAGAGTATAATTGTAGCCACTACTGTTCCATTCATGAATCCAACCAAAATATTCCAAAGCCGGCAAGAAAAACACACTCATTTGTCGTGTTCTTAGAGTAAATTACTCTAATAATCTCTCCCTCCCTCTCTCTCTCTCAACCCCCTTTTCTATCTTTCTTTCGTTACCTTTTGGAATTTTTGCCATTATAAAATACCCAGGGTGAGAAATTTTGTTCTTTGAAGGTTAAGGAAAAAAAATTAAAGTCTGGGCTTTACTTCGTCGGGGATGAGAATCCTTTTCACTGGATAAAGCTGCAGTCTTTGTGGCTGGCCGGGTAAGATTGAAGATAAAGAAAAGTGCTCGTTAAAGATAAAGAATTAATTCTCCGACGGATTTTTATATTTATTTAATTTGCTCTGTCGCATCCCAATTTCTTGGAGCAATCGATGAATCGGGATGGGGAGTAACTGCGGGGAGACGGCGACGGCGGCGGAGCCGCCGAACGGAGTATGGGCGCCGGGGAAACACTACTACAGGATCTGGCAGACGGTGTTCGAGGTGGACAGGAAGTACATCCCGATCAAGGGGATAGGGAGAGGGGCGTACGGCGTCGTGTGCTCGTCGGTGAACAGGGAAACCGGCGAGAGGGTGGCGATCAAGAAGATCTGCGACGTGTTCGGGAACAGAGTGGACGCGCTGAGGACTCTGAGGGAATTGCGGCTTCTGCGGCACGTCCGGCACGAGAATGTGATCGGTTTGAAGGATGTGATGATTCCCCCTGTCCAAGCAGCAGGAGGCTTCTTCAAGGATGTGTATTTGGTCTATGAGTTAATGGACACTGATTTGCATCACATCATCAAGTCCTCTCAATCCCTCTCCAATGACCATTCCAAGTATTTCCTCTTCCAGGTTTGTTTTCCTTTCTTCTCGCCTTTCTGCCGAAGATATGACCTTAGATAACTGGGTGGTCGATTGTCTAGGTTTGGGAGATATTATAGTTTTTGTGTTGTGAATTCTTTGTGTTGCTCGAGCTAAAATCTTTTGGAAACAGTCCATTTACTTTCAGACCTTAGCGTACAGACGCCCTTTTCAGATACTATCTACTACTTTTATGGAATTTTACCGAGTTGTTGTTGTTGTTATTGACTAATGTTAGTGTTTTTCCCATCAGCTACTTCGTGGATTGAAATATCTTCATTCAGCAAACATTCTCCACAGGGACTTGAAGCCCGGAAACCTTTTGGTGAATGCCAACTGTGATTTGAAGATTTGCGATTTCGGGTTGGCAAGAACTACAACCACTACACGGGGAGGCAATAATGAACCTCAGTTCATGACTGAATATGTAGTGACTCGCTGGTACAGAGCGCCGGAGTTGCTTCTGTCGTGTGATAACTATGGGACCTCCATTGATGTCTGGTCGGTCGGGTGTATATTTGCAGAGATTCTTGGTAGGAAACCGCTCTTTCAAGGCTCAGACTGTCTGAGTCAGCTAAGGCTCATCGTCGCGGTTCTCGGGACGCAACCCGAAGTCGACCTTCAGTTCATCCATAACCCGAAGGCCAAGAAGTTCATCCGATTGCTCCCGTTTTCTAGGGGAATTTGTTTCTCTTCCATGTTCCCGGACGCCGACCCTCTGGCCCTGGATTTGCTGCGACGGATGCTTGTTTTCGATCCGTCGAAGCGAATTACGGTCTCTGAAGCTCTCCAGCACCCATACTTGTCGGGTCTTGTTGACCCGACAAGTAACGTGCCACCAGCCCATCAATTCCATCTTGATATTGATGAGAGTATTGGGGAAGTGGTAATTAGGGAGCTGATGTTGAGAGAAATCCTTTGTTACCACCGTCTTGAAGCTCCCTACTGTGTAAACGCCTTCTATCAAGGGTGATGTTTTTATTCAGAGTATTATTTTTTGTTTGTTTTGATTTTGTCTTCCATTGTTGTGCCATTGCATCCATGGGAGAGTTAATGGATAAACCTTTGATTTATGGTTCTCAAGTTATTCTTGTAATTAATGTATTTGCAATATGTACTCATGAGTGTAATGGAAAGAACATTTTCTCTCGGCATTAATGAAATTCAGTTTGAACTTTTGAAGGGTCGAAATAATATTCTTTTTTCTCTAAGTTTTTTTATTAAGAAAATGCAAAGAATATAAGCATCAGTACTCGAGGTAGTACAAATGTCAATGGATAACTAGCTGTTTGTGCAAGAACATGAAAAGATAAGTCGTTGACATGTGTTTTTTTGGAGAGCTTCGATGATAGCTATGTTAGTCGAATTCAATGATGTCGTTGTGCCAAGGGTAATCCTTTAATCAACTGAGAACTTCTTGGATCGCCAGTGCTTCTCTTTACATGGGGTGTGAAAGGAGGGGATGTGAGATTTTTAGCAGTACAGAAAGTCATGATGTGGTCTCTTATAATTTAAATGACTCTGATACAGTTTTCAGGGAGGCCCATTGATGCTTTGCCATAGATCTCGATCCTGTTTTTGGTGGTTTAGTTCTTATGAGGGAGTCAAGAGAGGTTTGGGTTAGACTTGTGATCGATTAGTGCCAATTGGAATAGAGGGTTTTTTAAGAAATTAGTCCGTAAATCTTGGCGGGAGAATCAGGGCCCATAAAAAACATAGGCCCAAGGGAAGCCCAAAAACACACTTTTAAGCTTACCGCCAAATCAGATGACGATCAAAGCAATGTGTTCATCGAAGTCTCAGAACCCTAAAGAATGGAGGTTCACATGGGAAGCTCAATCTCACATCCCAACCATCAGATTATATCTCTTCAACCCCCACATCAAACCCGCATCCGATTGCGCCCATCTGCGAGTCGGCACAAGCTTGGAACAGTATGTGCTCACTGTAAGCTTCAATGGAAATGAAGCTGAATCTCCAGTCGAGATCTCCCTCAGGGTGCCCATTCCTAGGGTTTTGGTCGACTTCGAGTCTCCGGTGCATTCTAGACTTCTCGATGATCACATTGAAGTCAAGCTCGGTCTTCTCCTTCCCGTTGATCATCCACTCGGTTCTAATTTTGACTCTGTGCTGAATTCACTTAAAAAAGATGAATGCGGTAATGAAATTTTGGCATCAGATGGGGTTAATCCACTATCTGCTTGTTTAGGTGAGTTAGTCGTTACTGGATTGGCTTTTTTTCCCATTGTTATTGCTGTTGCTATTTTTTAATTATCATTTGTTATCATTATTTTGAAAAAAAATGAATTTTCAAAAAACCTAAGCTTGTATGCACGTGCACTGATCAATGTTCCAACTATTCTTTTACACAGTGGTGAATATTCATATATTTCTAAAGTCTTGGTGGTTTTTTGGTTGATATAAGTACAGACTTCAAAGGCATATCTAGTTCAATTTTTTGTTTTACTTGCATGAACATTGTGTAGCATGGATAATTATGTTTTTAGTTTTCCTTAGTCCTAACTCTTGGTTTTCTTCTTGAGTTTTTGCAACATGTTACCGTACGGGATTAAAGGTGCAGTGCATCATGGATTCATGGACACATCTCATGAGTCATGAGTGAAAGTCCCATCATATTTAGATTCTATGTTTAATGAAGGAACTTTCTGATTTAATTAATGCAATCAGAAATTTAGATTTCACTACAAGACAACAACTATGTTTGGCTTCCTTATTTGCAATATCTGTACTAAAAATCATTCTGAACATTAGATCTACAACGACTATCTGCTGCGGGTGAAGTGCACTTTTACTGCAGAAGTTGCTCAACAAAATTGACCAGAGGTATCAGGCAGGACCTCTCTCTCTCTCTCTCTCTCTCTATCTCTCTCTCTCCACATGCACACACGAAATGACAAATCAGCACACACTCTTTGTTTGCCAGTTTTCTTCACAAAATGGTCACAAAATCACAAATGGTGTGTAGTTTAAGCCATTTTAGCCTTTAAACAGTCAGTCCCATGTTTCCATCCAAATGAAATCATTGGCAGCTTGTATTGTCAAACTATGTAGTCCTGCCAATTGTTCAGCTTTGTGAGGTGTCAAAGACAAATAGGCAGTTCTGGAAAGGGTGAACAATCTTTCATTCCAAAATCCTATGTGATGTAGCAGCCATTGCAGCTTATTCTTTTGTCTTGATTTGCAGAATTCTTCTTTTTCTTTGATTCATTTGATTTTTTACAAGATCTACATAGGTGCATTAGGTAGATAAGGGTTACATTGTTTCTTTGAGGGGTTTGTTTTTAGATGGTTTTTAATCTATATTGTCTGTGTGTTGAAGTTGAACTTCAAATGGCTTCATATTGTTGCTCCATATCTTTTATGCAGAACGTTTAAGGAGATGCCATCTGTGCATTGGAGAGATGTTGCAGACAATTGGTTTGGCACATGTTGCTGCTCGTTTGGGGGTATAAGTGAGAAGTTGGTACTGAATTATGCTAGATCTTATTTGTGTGCAGCAGGCTTGTGCTTATTAAGTGAGTCTTCAGTTATTATAAGTGTTGAAGACATTTTGGAGGGCAAACTCCCTAGTAGGAGCTCAACAAAAAAATACGATTCTGACAAATCTGACCTGAAATCAGATGACATCAAGTATTTGAACAGATTCACATTTGGAAATGTGAATGATCTACAGAAAACTCTCCACCATGAAGATCTTTGTGAGGGGGTGCAGGGATTTAAAAACAGCCACTATGTAAATTGTTGCACTATTGGTTCATGTGAAAATCCCTTGGGGCAGTGTGAGTCCTCTGTTGATTTTGAACTCCCAGTGAATCAGAAAATATTCCTGAATGGTTATCTTGGAGATGTTTTCATGGCGAGACCCTCCAATCTTTCAAAAGATATTGAGTGGATAGAGTTTTTTTGTCCCAAATGTGCACATCTTCTTGGAGCATATCCTAGCCGCAATAGTCATGTACCTTTGGATGGTGGAGTTCGACTCTATAAATTCTACATTTCAACGTCTTTGCCTGCCAATGGAGTGCACGATTTATTTAGGTCAGCTACTTACCTTAGCTTCATGCTTGATCTGGATGTGCCTGTTTTTTCACACTTTCTTTTTCAGTAGGATATACTAACAAATAAGTTCCACATTCAGGAATTATACTTTTGAGAGGGTGTTCACTAGTCTGTTGCTGGGAAGTGCAAAAGATGAGCTTTCATTTAGGACTGTGGTTAGAGATCTGCACAATCAATATCATTCCCTACAAATTGTTCTCTTGAACCCAAATACATGGAGCCATGCTGGATTGTGTTTGCATGCCATAGAACCAGTTCCCAAGATTAATGTGTACCCGGCAATCAAAGTCTTATTTTCTCCCAACATTAGTGACGTGCAGCTCGAGCCTAGGTTAGTCTTTCAACTATCATATTCTCCATCCCGTCTTTATCGCAAAGCACATCTTAGAAGAGGTCAATTGTACTTTTTACAAGGCATTGTTTTTTATGAAGCATTAATTGTTTTCTTTTCATTGTTTTCCTTGAATAAATAGTGTTCATGTTTGTTCTCTAAAAGTACTTATTTATGAGGCATAATGAAAGAGGGTAAAGTTCGAGTATCATATATAATATCTTTAAGGATCCCAGAAAATCAACTACGTAGTTTGTGTCATTTGGTCATTGGTCAATTGTGCATTTGTGCCTTATAATATGATAGTTTTGGGTCTGTTAAGACCTTACACTCCCCACTTCCTAATAGTGTAATAGAAGGACAAAAAAGTTTCATTTGATATTTCTAAAAAGATTTCAACCTTAATGGTTAGTTTAAATCTTGATTTTTATTGGGGATAAGAGACAACTATAAGTATGAATCTGATATTACACGTGTCTCAATTGAAGAAACTCTAACCTTTTAAATAGGAATAAAAAATCACTTTTTAATTTGGTATCAGAGCAAAATATATTTTTTTAATTAAAATTTATGCTTAATGAGATTGTCCATTTTAATAACAAAATTACCTGAAGCATGACTCTTAACAACTATCTAAACTCATCACCCTCTACAAACTAAATTTACAATGGTTTTGGATTTTCATCTCATTTTCCTTCTTAAAAAGGTTGTGAGTTGTGACAGGCTGACATCTTCCTAAAAAATTTCATTATGTTATTTATTCTTTCTTGAATTCAAAATGTTGAAGTGCTACTCATGCAGGAACGTAGAATGGGTAACAAAGAAGCAAGCTCAAGAGGTATACCTGCTCCCTTCTCAAATGAAAGAACTGATTGAATATTTGGAGAATGCGCACAATACATATCCACCATCACATACTTTCTCACATGGATTCTCTGTGTCATCCTTGAAGACATGAATGGTAATGAACTTTTTAGTCTCTTAGACTCTTACCCATTTTATCTAGGGACCTATCTCAATTTGCCTAACAAACTTCAAGTAAAAAAAAACTATTTGTCTTGTTTTTTCTGCTCGTAGTGTTGTATTATCCCAACTGTTGTCTTCTTGCAAGAATGTTGCTAGATCACAAATATATTGAGAACCCAAATACAAGAACCCACGTAGATACATGATATATTGATATGGCCCGAATGGCTGTTGCATGCAAGGAAACTTAGGTGGAGTATGCAACCATGCATACTGTACGTGGGTGTGGAGTCCTTAATTATTTGTCTTTTATTCACTTTGAGCATATTTCTAATTATTGTGCGTTGTTCTTTTGTTAGTGGGTCCATGTTAATAGTTAGTAGGGGACTACGTAGTAGGAAGTTATCATCTGTGTCATCTTGTTTGTGAGCCTATTTATGGCTGTGTGTGAAACGGAGATACATCAGAAATTGCAGCAACTATCTCTTCTTTGGAACACACTTGCATCAACTATCTCATTCCCAGACTTGCAGTATTATCCGATTTCTTTGGAGCATAGTTCTTAGCTCTCTCTCTCTCTCTCTCTCTCTCTATCTATCTATCTATCTCTCTATCTATCTCTCTATCTATCTCTCTCTCTCTCTCTCTCCCGCTCTAGAATTTACTTTCTAGACTTGGGTTCCCAGAATCCGTCATTGGTGCTTTCATTGAGAGCTTAGAACACATCGAGTTGCTCTTTTCACCACATTGTTCGCCATGGTTGCATCAAAGAGAATGATAAAATAAAGGTGCCGGCCGCCTCGCCATCATTACACCATAAAATGCTTGTGACAGGGAAATTCTTAGAAACATCAAGAAAAGCGACCATAACATCATATATAGTCCGGCTGCAGGGGACAGTTACTTAAAGGGATAACAAAACTAAGTAATTTCATCGGAAGAAGTCATTTGACACATCACGCTCTCGGCTGGCCTCACAGAATGAATATATACTTGGAAAATATTAGCAAATCATGTTCAAACCACATTCAATAGCAATCAAAGTCAGAGCTTACACAAGAGTTTGACACAAATTACAACCTCGATCGGCATCAGGATAAAACAAAGGAAGCATTGCAAAGGACATAATGTATGGTGGAACACACAGTCCACACAGCTTGGTCTGGTTTGCGTGCTTGGGATAAGCTCTCAGTCTCTCGCGGTATGCTTCCTCAAAATCCCTCTTCCCCTAAGGACATCTCCAACGGTGCTAACTGCAATTCCTGATTTTTGCAGCACTCTTTCACTCTTTCTCCAACCCTTCTTTCAAACCTGAAACGCAAAATAGGTTTTTCTCCCCCATCTCTCTTCCTCAAACGCATATATGCATTTCTACTGTACCTTTTCTTTTTCTGTTTTTTTTGTAGCTTACAGTATGTACTCATTTATTTGTAGCTTGTTTTGGTAGCCTAATCCTATCGTTTTTACTATTTAAAGTATTTTTTTTAAAAAATCAAATCAAAGTAAAAAGAGAATTTTAAAAAAAGAATATATAGTGAGGATATTCTTTTGAGTTTGGTGTAATTGGTTCCAGATGAATTGCTGTTTCATTTGATATTTACTACATTTTGGGTTTGAGTTTTAGTGTAGATGGTTGGAGATGGTCCAAGTCCTCCCCCTAGGCACCCCTAAGAGCCCTCTTACCTTGATGCACTTAATTCCTCTCCCGAGGCACCCCCAAAAGCCCTCGGCCCTGTGACACCCAAATCATCTCTCGAGGTCTGCTCTGACAACCTAGCAAGGCACCAAAAGCTCTCCATTCTCCGAGGCATCTAAGTCCACTCTCGAGGTCACCCTTGAACACCTTGCGGGGCACTTAAAAATCCCTTCACAGTTCCTAGCATGGGCATCATGTTTCCCCTCTTCATGGACGCTCCTCAAGCAAGAGCACGATAGTCCCATTAGGGTGTATGTGATTCAAGTACCAACCAAATAAGATAACTGAAGGCGCATCATCATAGCCGAACAGTGATGTTACTCCCTTTCACTTGAAGTCCCTCCTCAGCTCAAGGAGTGGGGACTTTGTGTGCTCTTCGGCATCATATTGGAGTGTAGTACTTTGGGCCAACATGAGCTCTTTGCCATTGCGTCAACCTTCTTGAGTAAGCTCGGCTTCCTCTTCTCTAAGACTTCACACCCTAAAGATGCTTTTATTGATTCACATCATGGGACAAGATATACTCTTTTCTTGAACCAAGGTTTTTTGTTTCATTCTCATGGGTTTTTCCCTCGACAAGTTTTTAATGAGTCATTCCTCATGGGGTAGATCAAAAATCAATGAGGTTGAGGGCTGATCCTTGAATACGATGAGCGAACAGAGCATGATGATTTCTTTATTTTATTTTGGAAGATCTCACTGTGTGTCGAAAGCATATTTGGTCACACCTCCTTGTCCTTGTAGCTGAGTGTTCCGGTAAATGACTACCTCCACTAAGCGTAGCAATGCTCGGCTTGGGAAGTGGGGGACTCATGATGACTCATACCCTAGACAAAGGGCATCCTGCCCAAGTAGTACCCAGAGCCTAGACATAGGGTATCCTGCCTAAGAAGTACCTGGACGGTCTTGTACGTGACGTCAATCGTCCCTCTGCTCGGCTACTGACCACCAAAGGATTTAAGAGCTAGGATTACACAGTAGGGTATCCTTAAAATTCTCATAGGTTGTGTTTTCTAGCTTGTTGGGCCAGCATGGAAGCATATAAGCAATTCATGCACCACTATAATGCCTGTACACTGGTTCGCATGTTATGCATACATGACATGTGTATGTACCATTCATATATAACATGCGCATACGTCAATGTGTAACAAATATATAAACCTCCTTCTAGTCCATGGAGGGGGGAGACACACGGACAATCCCACACAATGAGAAACACATTTAGACACATACTCAGTCATACATTCATCATCCTCATCCTCATACCTTTAAGGATACCCTCATTCTCATACTCATACTTCAATTAGGAGGGGTAGGAACCGTTCATCATCCTCATTCTTTTACTTTTAATTTTTTTTTTGGGGGGGGGGGGGGG